TGAAAATAGCTGTGCAGCGACGCTCCCCATCCAACCTGACAGAGCTTGAGAGGATCTGCAGAAAATAATGGAAGAAACTCCCCAAATACAGATGTGCCAAGCTTGTAGCGTCATACCCAAGAAGACTCAAGGCTGTTATCGCTGCCAAAGGTGCTTCAACAAAGTACTGAGTAAAGGGTCTGAATACTTATGTAAATGTGATATTTCAGTTTTGTATTTTTAATACATTTGCAAAAAATCTAAAAGCCTGTTATTGCTTTGTCATTATGGGGTAAAAAACCCAAAAACAATTTAATCAATTTCAGAATAAGGCTGTAACGTAACAAAATGTGGAAAAAGTCAAGGGGTCTGAATACTTTCCGAATGCACTGTATATATACACACTACATAACCAAAAGTATGTGGACACTTGCTCGTCGAACATCTAATTCCAAAATCACGGCCATTAATATGGAGTTGGTCCCCCTTTTGCTGCTTTAACAGCCGCCACTCTTCTGGAAAGGCTTTCCACTACACTACCGGTCAAAAGTTTTAGAACACCTACTCATTCAAGGGTTTTTCTTTATTTTTACTATTTTCTACATTGTAGAATAATAGTGAAGACATCGGAACTATGAAATAACACATATGGAATCATATAGTAACCAAAAAAAAGTGTTAAACTAATCAAAATATATTTTAGATTCTTCAAATAGCCACCCTTTGCCTTGATGACAGCTTTGCACACCCTTGGCATTATCTCAACCTGCTTCATGAGGTAGTCACCTGGAATGCATTTCAATTAACAGGTGTGCCTTTTTAAAAGTTAATTTGTGGAATTTCTTTCTTCTTAATGCGTTTGAGCCAATCAGTTGTGAAGATAGCCCTATTTTGTAAAAGACCAAGCCCATATTATGGCAAGAACAGCTCAAATAAGCAAAGAGAAACGACAGTCCATCATTAGTTTAAAACATGAAGGTCAGTCAATAATGACAATTTCAAGAACTTTGAAAGTTTCTTCAAGTGCAGTCGCAAAAACCATCAAGCGCTATGATGAAATTGGCTACCATGAGGAACCGCCACAGGAATGGAAGACCCATAGTTATCTCTGCTGCAGAGGATAAGTTCATTAGAGTTACCAGCCTCAGAAATTGGAGCCCAAATAAATGCTTCACAGAGTTCAAGTAATAGACACATCTCAACATCAACTTTTCAGAGGAGACTGTGTGAATCAGGCCTTCATGGTCGAATTGTTGCAAAGAAACCACTACTAAAGGACACCAATAAGAAGAAGAGACTTGCTTGGGCCAAGAAACACGGGCAATGGTAATTAGACCAGTGGAAATGTGTCCTTTGGTCTGGAGTCCAAATTTGAGATTTTTGGTTCCAACCGCAGTGTCTTTGTGAGACGCAGTGTGGGTGAACGGATAATCACTGCATGTGTATTTCCCACCGTAAAGCATGGAGGAGGAGGTGTTATGGTGTGGGGGTGCTTTGCTGGTGACACTGTCTGTGATTTATTTAGAATTCAAGGCACACTTAACCAGCATGGCCACCACAGCATTCTGCACCGATGCGCCATCCCATCTGGTTTGGGCTTTGTGGGACTATCATTTGTTTTTCAACAGGACAATGACCCAACACACCTCCAGGCTGTGTAAGGGCTATTTTACCAAGAAGGAGAGTGAGTGCTGCATCAGATGACCTGGCCTCCACAATCCCACAACCTCAACCAAATTGAGATGGTTTGGGATGAGTTGGACAGCAGAGTGAAGCAAAAGCAGCCAACAAGTGCTCAGCATATGTGGGAACTCCTTCAAGACTGTTGAAAAAGCATTCCAGGTGAAGCTGGTTGAGAGAATGCCAAGAGTGTGCAAAGCTGTCATCAAGGCAAAGGGTGGCTATTTGAAGAATCTCAAATCTCAAAAATATTTGTTTAACAATGTTTTGGTTACTACATGATTCCATGTGTTATTTCATCGTTTTGATGTCTTTACTATTATTCTACAATGTAGAAAATAGTAAAAATAAAGAAAAACCCTTGAATGAGTAGGTGTTCTAAAACTTTTGACCGGTAGTGTAGATGTTGGAACATTGCTGCAGGGATTTGCTTCCATTCAGCCACAAGAGCATTAGTGAGGTCAGGTACTGATGTTGGGCGATTAGGTCCCCTGTAGCTCAGTTGGTAGAGCATGGCGCTTGCAACGCCAGTGTTGTGGGTTCATTTCCCACGGGGGGCCAGTATGAAAAATGTATGCACTCACTATCTGTAAGTCGCTCTGGATAAGAGCGTCTGCTAAAATGACTAAAATGTTTAGGCCTGGCACGCAGTCGGCGTTCCAATTCATCCCAAAGGTGGTCAATGGGGTTGAGGTCTGGGCTCTGTGCAGGCAAGTCAAGAAAGGGCCTTTCCCAAACTGTTGCCACAAAGATGGAAGCACAGAATCGTCTAGAATGTCATTGTATGCAGTAGCATTAAGATTTCCCTTCACTGAAATGGGCCTAGCCCGAACCATGAAAAACAGCCCCAGACCACTATTCCTCCTCCACCAAACTTCACAGTTGGCACTATGCATTGGGGCAGGTAGCGTTCTCCTGGCATCCGCCAAACCCAGATTTGTTCGTCGGACTGCCAGATGGTGAAGCATGATTCATCACTTCAGAGAACGCGTTTCCACTGCTCCAGAGTCCAACGGCGGCAAGCTTTACACCACTCCAGCCGACGCTTGGCATTGCACATAGGGATCTTAGGCTTTTGTGCGGCTGCTCGGCCATATAAACCCATTTCATGAAGATCCTGACAAACAGTTATTGTGCTGACATTAATTCCAGAGGCAGTTTGGAACTCGGTAGTGAGTGTTGCAACCGAGGACAGACGATTTGTACCCGCTTCGCGCTTCAGCACTCGGCGGTCCCGTTCTGTGAGCTTGTGTGGCCTGCCACATCGCGGCTGAGCCGTTGTTGCTCCTTGACATTTCCACTTCACAATAACAGCACTTACAGTTGACGGGGGAAAGGTGGCATCCTATGACTGTACCACGTTGAAAGACTGAGCTCTTCAGTAATGCCATTCTTCTGCCAATGTTTGTCTATGGAGATTGCATGGCTGTGTGCTCTATTTTACAGTGTGTATATATATATATACACACATACATACATATATACATACTACCGTTCAAAAGTTTGGGGTCACTTAGAAATGTCCTTGTTTTCGAAAGAAAAGCAATTTTTTTGTCCATTAAAATAACATCAAATTGATCAGAAATACAGTATAGACATTGTTAATGTTGTAAATGGATATTGTAGCTGGAAACGTCTGATTTTTTATGGAATATCTACATAGTCGTACAGAGGCCCATTATCAGCAACCATCAGTTCTGTGTTCCAACGGCACGTTGTGTTTGCTAATCCAAGTTTATAATTTTAAAAGAAGCAATAAAACTGGCCTTCTTGAGACTAGTTGAGTATCTGGAGCATCAGCAATTGTGGGTTCGATTACAGGCTCAAAATGGACAGAAACAAATAACTTTCTTCTGAAACTCGTCAGTCTATTCTTGTTCTGAGAAATGAAGGCTATTCCATGTGAGAAATTGCCAACAAACTGAAGATCTCGTACAACGCTGTGTACTACTCCCTTCACAGAACAGCGCAAACTGGCTCTAACCAGAATAGAAAGAGGAGTGGGAGGCCCCGGTGCACAACTGAGCAAGAGGACAAATACATTAGTGTCTAGTTTGAGAAACAGACGCCTCACAGGTCCTCAACTGGCAGCTTCATTAAATAGTACCCGCAAAACACCAGTCTTAACGTCAACAGTGAAGAGGCGACTCCGGGATGCTGACCTTCTAGGCAGAGTTGCAAAGAAAAAGCCATATCTCAGACTGCCCATCTTAATCTTTTATTTTTATTGGCCTGTCTAAGATATGGCTTTTTCTTTGCAACTCTGCCTAGACGGTCAGCATCCCGGAGTTGCCTCTTCACTGTTGTCTCTTCACTGTTGTCCCAAAACATTGAAATAAAAAAAATTCTGCAGGACAATTACACACATTATTTTGCCAAAGACACCAGAATGGCTTTCCAAGAGGTGTTGAGTGTTCCTGATTAGTCTCAGTCCTGACTTAAATTTTGCTTGAAAATCAGAAAAAATATTATAATAATAATAATAATATGCCATTTAGCAGACGCTTTTATCCAAAGCGACTTACAGTCATGCGTGCATACATTTTTGTGTATGGGTGGTCCCGGGGATCGAACCCACTACCTTGGCGTTACAAGCGCCGTGCTCTACCAGCTGAGCTACAGAGGACCACATATTGCTGTCCATCAATGATTCCCAACCAAATTTAATGAGCTTGAGAGATTTTGACAAAAACAATGGATGTTGCCCTAAAAGTTGTTCAAAGTTGGTATAATCTTATTCCAAATAATTCACAGCTGTAATGGCTGCCAAAGGTGCTTCCACCAAGTATTAACTCCTGGGGGTTGAGACTTATTCAAATATAATATTACATTTTTAGTTTTAGTTTTTTTTAGGAAAATGTTCTATAACTTTTTTTCCACTTTGAAAATGTGGAGTAGGTTGTGTAGATCTGTACGAAACAAATCACAAATTCAAGGGGGTGTAGATTTTCTATAGAGGCTAACCCTTCATGTCCTCTGCCTCGACGACGATGGCAGTATTATCAGCAGCATCTGTCTTTTTACTAATGAAATGTGTTAATTTAGATAATTTTTCTGTTAAAATTAAATCTTCTTTCTTTCTTTCTTTTTCTTTTCTCTGCCCCGCTCTGAAAGCACCTCAGCTTCATTTAAATGAAAGTCACATTTGCAATCATATCGTGTGAAAAAATGCACGGGAACTCTGTCAGGGTGGAACAGTCCATTATTATTAAACAGTCTGTGGGTGATTAATGACACTTTCTACTATTATGAGAAAAACGTGGATTATAGTAATATGGATATTAAATATATGTATATGGAAATAAATTATTGATTATGAATTATCAGGTGTAAGGATTCATTTACTTTTTTGTGACCTCATTAACCTGGGCACACTGGCCAGGCAAAACCCCCCTCCCTCCCCATTTCCTTTGCAACTTTGAAGCTTCCCGAAAGATTTTGCTCCTGCTGAACCAACCTGCTGAAGAAAGACACATTTATGGTGGTGGAGAGAAATGTTTGTGTGTTTGTAGGGTGAGAAACAGATTTGAACATGTGGCACTGTGTGACAACGCACAAGGGTCGTAATACAAGGGTCGTGGGTTTCATTCCTGATGGGGTCACATAAACTGAAATGTAAGCACTCACTGTATCGTAAGTTGCTTTGGAAAAACATCTGCGTAATCGCTTATATTGTATTATTCTAATGCTTTATATCAAAGCAACATCTACAGAGCAGTATGGTTGGTGTGTATTAAAGGCCCAGTGCAGTCAAAAGCAGATTTTTCCTGTGTTTTATAACATATTGTACAACAGCTAATGAAACTAACACTGTAAAAGTGTGAAAACATTTGATCAGTGTTATTTCCTGGTTGAAAATACAATCAACACAGGACCTTCTAAATCAGCAGATTTGCATGGGTGGGAGTTTCTGCTTTCATGGTGACAACATCATGAGATAAATTGGTTAATAAACCAATAACAAAGAGAGTTCCAAACCTCTCTGCCAATAACAGCTAGTTTCAGTTCTCCCCTTCCCACTCAGACCACTCCCAGACAATCCTAGCTAAATTCTAAAAAGCAATGGAAAATCTATTACAGTAAGGTACTTCATCGTTACCCAGGAATTGTTTGATAATTATATAAAAAACGGCTGCATTGGGCCTTTAAAGGTGGAACATTAGGCTACTCACCTCTTGATTGAGAAAGCAGTAGAGAATTGCGACAATCAGCCCCTACAAGAGGTTATATAATCAACTATCAATATTCAAACCAATTAAGCACACAGATGTTCTCAACAGTTAAGAGAAGAACAGTGGGTAGTATAATTGTAAATAAAGCCATAAAAGGTATATGATACAGTGCATTCGGAAAGTATTCAGACCCCTTTACTTTTTTCAAATTTTGTTACGTTACAACCTTATTCTAAAATGGATTAAATAGTTTTTTTCCCTCATCAATCTACACACAATATCCCACAATGACAAGGCAAAAACAGGTTTTAGAAATGTTTGCAAATGTATACAAAATAAACAACTGAAATATCACATTTACATAAGTATTCAGACCCTTTACTTAGTACTTTGTTGAAGCACCTTTGGCAGCCTTGAGTCTTCTTGGGTATGAAGATACAAGCTTGGCACACCTGTATTTGGGGAGTTTCTCCCATTCTTCTCTGCAGAGCCTCTCAAGCTCTGTCAGGTTGGATGGGGAGCGTCGCTGCACAGCTATTTTCTGGTCTCTCCAGAGATGTTTGATCGGGTTCAAGTCCGGGCTCTGGCTGGGCCACTCAAGGACATTCAGAGACTTGTCCCGAAGCCACTCCTGCGCTGTCATGGCTGTGTGCTTAGGGTCGTTGTCCTGTTTGAAGGTGAACCTTCACCCCAGTCTGAGGTCCTGAGCACTCTGGAGCAGTTTTGCATCAAGGATCTCTCTGTACATTGCTCCGTTCATCTTTCCCTCGATCCTGACTAGTCTCCCAGTCCCTGCCGCTGAAAAACATCCCCACAGCATTATGCTGCCACCACCATGCTTCACAGTAGGGATGGTGCCAGGTTTCCTCCAGACGTGATGCTTAGCATTCAGGCACATGTGCCTTTTACTGAGGAGTGGCTTCCGTCTGGCCACTCTACCATAAACGTCCTTCTGGAAGGTATTCCCATCTACACAGAGGAACTCTGGAGCTCTGTCAGAGTGACCATTGGGTTCTTGGTCACCTCCATGACCAAGGCCCCAATTGCTCAGTTCGAATGGGCGGCCAGCTCTAGGAAGAGTCTTGGTGGGTCTAAACTTCTTCCATTTAAGAATGATGGAGGCCACTGTGTTCTTGGGGACCTTCAATGCTGCAGCCATGTTTTGGTACCCTTCCCCAGATCTGTCTCGGAGCTCTACAGACAATTCCTTTGACCTCATGGCTTGGTATTTGCTCTGACATGCACTGTCAACTGTGGGACATTATATAGACAGGTGTGTGCCTTTCCAAATCCTGTCCAATGAATTGAATTTACCACAGGTGGACTCCCATCAAGTTGTAGAAACATCTCAAGGATGATCAATGGAAACAGGATGCACCTGAGCTCAATTTCGAGTCTCATAGCAAAGGGTCTGAATACTTAAGTAAATAAGGAATTTACATAAGTAAAATCTAAAAACCTGTTTTCGCTTTGTCATTATGGGTTATTGTGTGTTGAAATTTAATAAATTTTAGAATAAGTCTGTAACATAACAAAATGTGGATTAAGTCAAGGGGTCTGAATACTTTCCAAATGCACTGTATATAGCACATTCATTTTGCTTTCTCTAAACTGCTTAATGTAGGTAACTGCTCTATTTTTCAATAACTGTTTTACTGGCTGTAAAAGTGCTATCCATGCCAGGCGTAATTTACGTAAATTAGAGGTATACTGTATACACATATTCATGACATACTGTATAAATACCACATACAGTGAGCTCCAAAAGTATTGGGACAGTAAACCTTTTTTGTTTTGTTTTGACTCTGTACTCCAGCACTTTGGATTTAAAATGATACAATGACTATGAGGTTGAAGTGCAGACTGTCTGCTTTAATTTGAGGGTATTTTCATCCATATCGGGTGAACCGTTTAGAAATTACAGTACTTCTTGTACATTTTAGGGGACCAAAAGTATTGGGACAAATTCCCTTATGTGTATTAAAGTAGTAAAGAGTTAAGTATTTGGTTCCATATTCATAGCACGCAATGACTACATGAAACATGTGACTCTACAAATTTGTTGGATGCATTTGCTGTTTGTTTTTGTTGTTTTTCAGATAGTTTTGTGCCTAATGTAGTGTCATTTTGGAGTCACGTTTATTGTAAATAAGAATATAATTAGTTTCTAAGTATCTACATGAATGTGGATGCTACCATGATTACAGAATAATCCTGAATGAATCGTGAATAATGATGAGTGAGAAAGTTACTGAGGCACAAATATCATACCCCCAAGACATGCTAGCCTCTCACCATTACAATAGCAGGGGAGGTTAGCATTTTTTGCGGGGATATGATATTTGTACCCAATTTATAAGGCAATATATCTACTTCATAAGACTGCATGCCTGTGTGTGTGTCTGTGTCTCTGTGTGTGTCTCTGTGTGTGTGTGCTTGCTTGCTTGCGTTGGTGTTTACACATATTCAAAGTGAGTGTAGTATCTGAGAGTGTGTATTTGTTTGTGTGTGCAGGCCAAGCGAGAGAGCGTGTGTAAAAGGATTAGAATACCTGAAAGGACCCCATGCAGAGCTCGATGCAGAGGCGCACGCTAACATTGAAGTAGTCAGGCAGGAAGTTAAACACCATGTAGTGGGTCCCAAAGAGAGGGATGAGGAGGAGAGTGGACTTAGTCAGCCGTCTGGCAGAGTGGAGGAAAGAGGGAGTGAGGAAAAGAGAGAATAAGCTTGAGTAATAAGCTCTGGGGGTGTTCTTGTTAACATGTTTATAAGTATGCATGTGATTATGTACAAGAATGCATTTCAAAGCCAATTTTACATTTACGTGTGGGAGCATACCGGTATTATATTATGGTATAAGTACAAGTAATCTTTTTTTACCAGTCTACTTGACTGACCTTGGCTAAGAATATAATAGGATCTACATATGCATGAGGGCTTTCGGGGCTCAAGTCAATTACTCTGCACTGTCCTCTAATAAGGTGTTCATCTGCTAAGCCTTTCGAGGGGTGAAGTGGTGTAGGTGGTCCGTTGTCAGACAGACTGCAGTGACTCAGTGGTGGGTGAATCAGACCTCACACACATGAAAACATGCTCCCTTCCCTCAGACCTTGACGACTCTCCTACCTGGATACAAAAGGACTGGATAGGTATAAGTGATAGGTAGACTTTCCGAAATTGTTTTCACCTATTAAACCAGTCCTTTCAGATCTGCGAGGGAGTGTTATCAAGGTGGTGCGATGTGAGTGGGAAGGGAGTGAGTTTTACAGAAATGGAATGCAGCCCTATGATTACAGAATGTAGACCATCAGCAGACAAATGAACTATAGGAACCGAAATTAACTGTAGGAAATGAAAATAACTAAAATTCATTTAAATTAACTGTAGGAACTGAAATAAACTGTAACTCCAGTTCTAAGTTCAATACCTGTATTGAAAAACCTATTAATGTAGCTCATTAGCCTCTTAAGGATCGGACCCTTTTTTTAAATGTTCACCTAAAATGACATACCCAAATCTAACTACCTGTAGCTCAGGACCTGAAGAAAGGATATGCATATTCCTGACACCATTTGAAAGGAAACACTTTGAAGTTTGTGGAAATGTGAAATTAATGTAGGAGAATATAACACATTAGATCTGGTAAAAGATAGTACAAACAAAAAAAACATGCCTTTTCTATTATTTTTTGGGTTCCATCATCTTTAAAATGCAAGAGAAAGGCCACAATATAATATTGCATTTTAGGCACAACAGATTTTGGCCACTAGATGGCAGCAGTGTGTGTGCAAAGTTTCAGATTGATTTTGTATCAAGTCTGCCAAAATGTGCCGAATTGGTTAATTGATACATTTTCTAGTACATAGCTATAGAGAACATACAAAAATGATATGGTAATACAAAATGTAAGTTTACACACATTCACGGGAATGTCATACATGATGGATCATTAGCTTATATACACTAACTTTCACACATCTAGATGGACGGGCAGGGTGGGTGTGGAGCCAGAGACAGCAGGGGTTCAAACTGTAGAACCCAGTTCCTACATTTGAAAATAAAAATTGATTTTATCAAATAAAACTATGCTACATTTTATCTCTGGGACCCTTAGGATGACAAATCAGAGCAAGATTACTGAATGTAAGTACATTATTTACCTTCAGAGGTGAACGTATCAAACCAGTTGCCGTGATACGTTTTTTGTTGTTGTGCACTCTCCTCAAACAATAGCATGGTATTTTTTCACTGTAATAGCTACTGTAAATTGGACAGTGCAGTTAGAATGTTTGTATCTTTGAAGGATTTTATGTAATCTATCACAAGACATCTAGTGGCCCTTTTGGGTACTTCAGATTATCACAGGTGTCTGTAATTATCTCTGGCCCTCTGTGTGGCCTTAATCAAATGTAGAATACAGATGAAGATGCTTTTAAAATAAAAAATGGAATGCCAAAGCTGTAAAACATATACCCTAAATATAAACCATCAACGTATCGAATACCATTAGTGTTTAGTATGAGGGTTTCAGTATGAAATATCCTTTATATTTTTATTTACACACTTATTTATTTTACTATGTCAATATGTGTTTGTTGTCAATGTTTTGGCGTCAAACTGGTGGCAGTTGTGAAAAAAGTCAATAGTTGGACGGGTTGCAGAGGTAATTGAAAATAATGCCATTGTTGATTAGATGCTTTTTTCATTAATTAGGCTATTTTCTCCTGAACCATATGGTTTATCTACTAAAATCTCATGGACACGGATATAAAAAAAAATAGATACTATTTATGAATTCATTTAAAAAAAAGATATTCAAGTATAAATTACCAAAGTTACGATAAATTGACATAGATGTTTTCTTAATGACCAAAATTACTGAAGATTCCGGCTTTGCAACCCTACTCAGAATAAACAGTCACTCATAGTGGTTATGATGACTTTGTCTGTGTCCTAAAAATGGAGACTAGGAAAGTTGGCTTCACTCAGATCTCCCATTTATATGTAGCAGACAGACATTATGATAGATAGTCTACAGTAGATATCATCTATAGATTGTATCCTATCATCGCCTCCCCCTGTCTTTTCCAGTCAGATAACTTCATATTAGAACTGCTCAATAACATCATCTCTCCACTGACCTAGGAAACCCAACTTTTTGTCCAATTACATTGTTCCTCTTTTTTTATCATCCAATGAAAAGACTCCTCACCTGTACTGGTCTGAGTTGTTGAACTGGATCAGGCGAGGGTTCAGTTTCTGTATCAGGATTCTGATTATGTTCATGAAGAGGATGAAATTGACCTGTTGATAAAAAAGTATTTAACACAAATAAAAAAGCTCTGTTTTTTAATCAATAATTTAATCAATCCATTTTTAAAGCCCTTTTTTTAAATCAGCAGTTGTCATAAAGTGCTTTACAGTAACACAACACCAGTACAAATCTAGAAAATAAGGGAGACATAATAAAAATATTCCCAAGAGGATTCAATAAAGTAAACTAAACAAACAATATTCCTCAATTTCTGGGTTGCATTGACATGATGGCAACAGTGAAGACACAATCTGTACAGCATAGGACAAAGGCCACAATGGGATAGGACAACCTGCTGTGTTGACTATTGGTTGTTCAAGCCCAACAATAGATGTAATTTTTATATGACACTAAAACACCTGAATGAATTAAACACAACCAAACAATTAAGAGCCCTGATGGTACCCTTCCCAGAATCAACGGAGACATATCAGACAAGCTTAAAACCCTTCCCTTTTAAAAAACATTATTTAAAAGTAGGCACATACAGTAACAACCACAAGTGCACTGTGACATAAATGACAGATAATCGGTGTGTCCCTTTAAGACATAATGACACATTGTGTATGGCTGATACCCCCATAGGGCCTAGTCACCCCAATAGAAACCACGATTGGCCCTTTGATGATCCACCAATAGGGAGAGTCCTCGTTGATATCCCAGCATCTGTAGGAGGAGAGGGTAACGATCGGTCAGACAAAACTCTATAACAGAGATACAGACAGTACAGTACATAAAGGCCCTTCAGCAATTTCAGTCTCTGGTGGGAGTAAGAACAACAAGAGCCTTTCTCAGTGCATAATATACTTACATGTAAACACTGTACAACCCTTTTGAGAATAGCGAGTTACAAATCACAAACCATTTTCTAGAGGAAAGGAAATGGCCTCAATTAAGGATAATACCCGATAAGGGTTATCATACATTGAGTACTGGGAGAGTAAAATTACAGAGTAATACTCACTCAGTATCCTCAAAATACACCCTGGACCCAATCCATATGACTATGAAGATGATGGGTACGCCTGAAAATGAGTGCAAAAAGTCAAGAAAGAAACTTGAAAAGGAAAAGTGAGTGTAGATAGAAGGAGGAACATTTGTTATACCGGTCAGTTCAAACCCTTATGCTGCTCGGCTTAACATGAGAGACTTAAACAGCAATTATGTAATAAGATGCACATTTTGGCATAGTCTGCAGGATGTAACAATTATATGCTAAGATGTCGCACTTACTGAGTAATTATGAAGAACTTAGAACTAAGTGCTAATTGCAGTAGCTGCACAGGTTTTACCAGAACTCCTTGATAGCCTACTCACACACCTGAATGTCTAAGGAGCAAGAATCGAAATGCCAAAAGCAATGTGTTTAATTAAATGCTTAACTGAGTGGAATAACACCTGCTGTTAATATCTAAATAACATTGACATTTTAGTCATTTAGCAGACGCTCTTATCCAGAGCGACTTACAGTTAGTGAATACATTTTTTTTTTATACTGGCCCCCCGTGGGAATCGAACCCACAACCCTGGCGTTGCAAACGCCATGCTCTATCAACTGAGCTACATCCCTGCCGGACATTCCCTCCCCTACCCTGGACGACGCTGGGCCAATTGTGCACCGCCCATGAGTCTCCCGGTCGCGGCCGGCTGCGACAGAGCCTGGATTCGAACCAGGATCTCTAGTGGCACAGTTAGCACTGCGATGCAGTGCCTTAGACCACTGCGCCACTCAGGAGTATAAATAAAATGTGCATCATGATCAGATTGTGGTATATGGAGGCAAAACAATTAATTTGTAAGTCACAATTTCTTGATTCATATGCACTTGATTCATATGAGACACTTCAGCTAAATCGAAAAAAGGATTAGTACTAATAACTATAATAAGCATGCAAAACTAGACGGCATGAAAGCCTAAAAGTCACATAAGAGATAAAATAATTATACAAACTTAATCCAATCCAAAATACCAGTGGGAATTGCAGTGGGCCACTAAGTTTAACTTAATTTGTTGCATTATTAAAGTTTACTCCTCTCTATCTAGAGAGAGTTATTTGTGCCATTGAAAAATAATGAGCAGGCGATGTTTTGCGCACAGTTGTTTGACCTTGTGTCCATTTGAATTAATTCTAAAACGTGGAGTGTAATCAATATCAAACAGGATTTGAATAGTGACACACCACAAACCAGAGGAGCAAAAATAAATGGCTCTGTACCACGCACCAAAGGACTTACTACAGACACAGACAAGGATGATGTATGAGGTGCTCACCCCAGCCCAACAGGCCAAAGCCCCAGAGGCAGCGGCAGCTGTGGTGGAAGGAGGAGAGGAGCAGGGAGTTGAGGTAGAGGGCCTCCACCAGGAGCCAGAAGAAGTTAGCCATGACACAGTAGTGACAGAACACCACCGAGGCCTTACAAGCTGCCTGGGGGGGACAATGAGAGAGAGAGAGAGAGAGAGAGAGAGAGAGAGAGAGAGAGAGAGAGAGAGAGAGAGAATAGAGAGAGAGAGAAGAGAGAGAGAGAGACAGATAGAGAAGAACAGAGAGAGAGAGAGAGAGAGAGAGAGAGAAGAGGCAGAGAGAGAGAGAGAGAGAGAGCGAGAGATAGAGAGAGAGAGAGAGAGAGAGAGCAGAGCGAGATAAGAGAGGAGAGAGAGAGAGAGAGAGAGAGAGAGGAGAGAGAAGATATCAGAGAGAGATATAGAGATGCAGATAGAGAGTAGTAGATTTAGATCAAGATAGAGAGATTAATCTAGGCGCGAACGCCAGAGATATATTCATATATGATAGAGATTAGATCGAGAGAGAGAGAGAGCAAGAAAGAAAGAGACAGAGACACAGAGAAAGTGCATGGTGGGAAGGAAGAGGGAAGAGTGAGAAAGAGAGAGGTGAGAGTAGTGCGAAGACAGACAAAGAGGGGGAAATAAAAGAGAGCATCACGTGTTGAAAAGCTAGCAAACTGGACCTCTTCCATTTCCCTCTCAACGCATGCTCTGTGTTCTGAACAGTGGAGAGGGTGCAGTGGTTGACTTATGGTGGAGCGGGTGCAGTGGTTGACTTACGGTGGAGAGGGTGCAGTGGTCCGTGTCCTCGCTGGCGAACAGCTTGGCGTCCTTGTTGAACACAGCCATCGCCTTCAGCATGAAGGTGACAAACAGCTGGATGTGAATGTAGTTCCTGGCACAGCGAAGCCTCCTGGGAAGAGCCAGAAAACACAGTCAGGAACGGGGACCAAAGGGCAAACAGAAAACACGGCAGGAGTCCTGGACAAAGGACCACATACACAAAGCATGGTCACGACCAAGGACCAAACACACAAAACATGGTGAGGACAAAGGACCACACACACACACAAAACACAGTCACGACCAAGGACCACACACACAAAACACAGTGAGGACAAAGGACCACACACATGAAATACGGTCAAGAGCATGAGGGCAAAAAACAACAATACAATCAACTCAAACAACTGCTAACAGGAAGTGAGATTGAAGTTGCACAAGCAATCAACATAAAATAAAAAGCTCTTCTCAACTGACACTTGAAAGACATTATTAAAATGAGGTCCATGAAAAAATTTGCACAACAACAAGGGGGCCTCAGATTCAGAAACAAGAAGGGTTGAGAATGAGAGAGAAATGGGGGGGAGGGAGAGAGAGAGAGAGGGTAACGATTTACTTTGACTACATATCCATAACGCATTCATTACACAATTTCATGACGATGTTATAACAGGTCCCAACTGCATCATTAAAAGGTTAATGAAATATATCTATCTATAGCACATTTATGTCATGCTATGCAAGAGCTCATTTAGGTATCTTAATAGATGCATTACTACAATGACAGCGTAGTGTCATCATTATTGCTGTTCTCAAAAGTGTGCTTCAGTCATACCAGTGTTAGTGAATATGCCAAAAGGCCAAACCTATGCTGATATATAGCCTGTACTATAGTGCCCCATTTCCCCCACCGACCAGTAAATGCCCGTGACTTACTTTATTCTTCTCACTGAGGTCAATGGTGCATGGGGGAAATGGGGCTAGTTAAGATAGTAAGATAAATATGAGTTCTTGCATAGCATGACATGAATGTGCTATAGATATGCTCTGGATATATTTCATTAACCTTTAATAATGCAGTTGGGACCTGTTATAACATGTTCATGAAATGCTTATAGTTGGTATGTATACAGTGGGGGAAAAAAGTATTTAGTCAGCCACCAATTGTGCAAGTTCTCCCACTTAAAAAGATGAGAGAGGCCTGTAATTTTCATCATAGGTACACGTCAACTATGACAGACAAAATGAGAAAAAAATATCCAGAAAATCACATTGTAGGATTTTGAATGAATTTATTTGCAAATTATGTTAGAAAATAAGTATTTGGTGAATAACAAAAGTTTCTCAATACTTTGTTATATACCCTTTGTTGTCAATGACACAGGTCAAACGTTTTCTGTAAGTCTTCACAAGGTTTTCACACACTGTTGCTGGTATTTTGGCCCATTCCTCCATGCAGATCTCCTCTAGAGCAGTGATGTTTTGGGGCTGTTGCTGGGCAACACGGACTTTCAACTCCCTCCAAAGATTTTCTATGGGGTTGAGATCTGGAGACTGGCTAGGCCACTCCAGGACCTTGAAATGCTTCTTACGAAGCCACTCCTTCGTTGCCCGGGCGGTGTGTTTGGGATCATTGTCATGCTGAAAGACCCAGCCACGTTTCATCTTCAATGCCCTTGCTGATGGAAGGAGGTTTTCACTCAAAATCTCACGATACATGGCCCCATTCATTCTTTCCTTTACACAGATCAGTCGTCCTGGTCCCTTTGCAGAAAAAACAGCCCCAAATCATGATGTTTCCACCCCCATGCTTCACAGTAGGTATGGTGTTCTTTGGATGCAACTCAGCATTCTTTGTCCTCCAAACACGACGAGTTGAGTTTTTACGGGGTGAGATCTTGCGTGGAGCCCCAGATCAAGGGAGATTATCAGTGGTCTTGTATGTCTTCCATTTCCTAATAATTGCTCCCACAGTTGATTTCTTCAAACCAAGCTGCTTACCTATTGCAGATTCAGTCTTCCCAGCCTGGTGCAGGTCTACAATTTTGTTTCTGGTGTCCTTTGACAGCTCTTTGGTCATGGCCATAGTGGAGTTTGGAGTGTGACTGTTTGAGGTTGTGGACAGGTGTCTTTTATACTGATAACAAGTTCAAACAGGTGCCATTAATACAGGTAACGAGTGGAGGACAGAGGAGCCTCTTAAAGAAGAAGTTACAGGTCTGTGAGAGCCAGAAATCTTGCTTGTTTGTAGGTGACCAAATACTTATTTTCCACCATCATTTGCAAATAAATTCATTAAAGATCCTCCAATGTGATTTTCTGGAAAAAAAAATTCTCAATTTGTCTGTCATAGTTGACGTGTACCTATGATGAAAATTACAGGCCTCTCTCATCTTTTTAAGTGGGAGCACTTGCACAATTGGTGGCTGACTAAATACTTTTTTCCCCCACTGTATGTATATGTAATAAATGCGTTATGGATATGTAGTCAAAGTAAATAATTACCGAAGGGCGGGAGCGAGAGAGCAAACAAGACTGTGCTGGCAGTAGCAGGTGTGCATTATTGAGAGCATACGGTTATACCACGTAGCTTTAGCACAGGCTTAGAGCGTCTGCCCCTCTGATTATTACATATCCAGCTCATACAATCCAAATGTCATGGGCTCTATATCACCATCCCCAATGTGTGAGCCCAGTCAGTTCCCTTTCACTCTGTCAACTCGGTACAACACAGCTATGGGGAGTTTGCGAGCTAGCGCCCTCTACTGAACATTAGAATCACGTCTGACAAGGCCAATGAACACTGTGTCTCACCGGAAGCCCCGCCTTCAACAGGAGATAAACTCTCATTCCTTCAATTCATCTGCTCTTCAACTCGAGCTGTGCAGAACCATTCACTCAAAAAAACAACAACATTGGAACGCAAAATGTATTAGGCTTTAATCCAACTTAACTCTCCCACTTAAGGAGGGCATGCTCATCCTTCTGGACATTGTGTGTTTGGTAACTAGTTTCGTGAAGTTCCCTACCAATTTGTTATTTATTATTCTGCCTGTTTAGCCTCGCTAACTGGTTGTAAGTAAGATGACTACCATGAACGAGTCGACAAAGGCTGTTAAACTGGGTTCGAGTTCACGACCTTGACCACAGTCATGCGGTTTCACCATGTCTTTGAATGATACTCACGAGTGTTGTCTTGTATGTCCCGGTTGGGTGCATGCTCATGCTGCCCTGGATCGAACCAGCTTGTGTGACTACTGTCACCAACTGCGCACAAGTTCTCGAGGCGTGTAACCTTCCTTAGAAGGCTTGGTGGGACTGAAGTTGACTTTCCTCCGCTGGGTGCCTGTACCTCGGTGGAGTCTGAGTTGCAGGATATGGGGGTGGATCTGGGATTGTGGTTGGATCACATGGAGCTATCCTCCCAGCATGGCAATATATAGAGTTGGCTGATATCTCGGTCTCCTTCGGTGTTACACAGGACTCACATTTGGATGATAACTTGGTGTCTCCGGCCAGTTCAGTTTTTTTTCTGAGACAGAGATGGAGGGTTTGGCTTCGGGGCAGCCACACTTCCCTGCTACGGACAGCCAGTATTTCCTGGTTCCCAAAAGGGGCAGGACTTTGCGTCCCATTTTGGACATGCATGCCCTAAACAAGCACCTCAGGGTCTACAAATTCAGAATGCTCACGAACATCTGGTTGTTAGTCAGTGCGCCCGGGCGATTGGTTCACCCCCATCGACCTGAAGGACATGTACTTTCATGTGGCACTATATTCCCGTCACAGAAAGTTCCTGAGTTTCCGTTTCGAGGCTGCAGCCTACAGGTTTCTGGTCCTCACTTTCGGGCTTTCTGTCTCGCCACGCAAGTTGTGGAAGTGGTTTTGGCACCTATGCAGTGTCTGGGGCTCAAGATATTGGACTACCTGGACAATTGGCTGGTGGAAACAGAGTCGATGGAGCAAGTGGTGTTGCACACATCCATGCTGGTTTCCCATGTTCAGTCTCTGGGTTTCATAGTGAATCAAGGGAAGAGCTATTTAACTCCATCTCAGCATATTCCGTTTCTGGGTCTTGAGTTAGACTCAGTCAAGGATCGTGCGTTCTTGTCCCCGCAGAGGGACGTCGGTTTCCGGCTTTGCTTGGCCCGATTTCGTCTGGGTCACATGTGCCTGCGCCTATTGGGGATGATGGCTTCTATGATAGTTGTGGTTCCCCTCGAGCTGTTGCTGATTCAACCTTTCCAGCGGAAGGGTGATTGACACTTGCTTGGACGCATCGCATCACCTAAACCGGTAACTCTGGGTGTCCCCGTCATGCCTACGGCCTCTGGCTCGGTGGAGTGCGCTGTGCGAAGGTTGTGGACAGTGTTGCAGAGCGCGCTGAACATCAATTACCTGGAGCTGTTGGCGGTGTACATAGCGCTCAGGTGTTTTCTCCCGTTGTTGACAGGCCAGCATGTGCGGGCGAGGACCGACAACGGGACAGTGGGGGTGTACATCAACAGACAGGGAGGGGTGCGGTCTCAACACGGGTGCAGATCTGCTATCCAGGGGGGGTCCCGCTCTCAGGAGTGTTTCCCAGATATGGTAAATGTTCTTCAGGGCCTACGCATCTTTACACATCGCGAGAAAGCACGCATTGTCTACTTTTTAAAGGAACTGGATGCTTTCACTCACCAGTGGCCTTGCACCCTCCTTTACTCGTTTCCCCCTGTGGACCTGATTCCGCCGACGCTTGTGAGGGTGCATTGGAAGGGTTTGTCGTTGATCCTTGTGGCTCCCCGTTGGCCCAAAAGACCTTGATTCGTGGATATCATTCGCCTTTTAGGCAGGGACCATGGCAACTCCAGTTGCACAGGGACCCGGGGCAGGTCTAGCACCCACAGCCAGAGATTTGGAATCTGTGGGCTTGGCCCCTGAAATATCTAATCTGATGGCAAGGGGTTTACCTCTGAACGTTACTGCTACTTTACAGTCTGCAAGGGCACGCTCCATGAGAGGGTTGTATGGTTATAAGTGGCGGGTGTTCAAGCTTTGGTGTCAAAATAAAGGAATTTTCAGAGCTTTCTGGTGGACATTTTAATGTTCCTAAAAGGGGCTTTTCCGAGCAGGGACATTCATTGTCCACCTTGAAGGTGTATAAAATAGCTATTTCAGCGTGTGATGTGGGAATTGAAAGTGCCACTCCAAGGGCTCATCGCCTGGCGGTGCGGTTTTTAAAAAGGTGTGTGCCATCTCAGGCCGGTTTCTAAATCTATTGTTTCTGAGGAGCAGTAGGAGGTTACATGCCCTGTGTTTGGTACGAGCATTATGCATGGAGTCTGAATCTGAAGATCCTCACCTACAAGTCTGTTTGTTTCTGAGGAGCAGCGGTTACATGCCCTGTGTCCGGTACGAGCATTGTGCATGTACATTGAGCGGACCGGGGTGACCAACCGGTTGTCTGTTTTGCTAATCCGGCTCTGGCATATGACAGCAAAAGGCGGGAATTACCTAACCCCACTTCCCGGCACACAATCATTTTCTGTAAACAAATCCGTGCACCAAGATGCGTGGTAAATTTACTGCTGAAGAAAAAGCCCCTTTATAATGAAGCCATAATACATTTTGCGATATGGCATAGGCTACACTTAATCAGAGGTGTTTTTAGGATTTCCACACATAGTGAACATTTGTTAGCAGGATCAGATTTAGGGGGGATTTTTTAAAAACACATTTCATTCAATTCTACATCAGTTACATGATACAAGCCATACAGTGCCTTGCAAAAGTATTCATCCCCCTTGGCGTTTTTCCTATTTTGTTGCATTACAACCTGTAATTTAAATGGATTTGTATTTCATGTAATGGACATACACAAAATAGTCCAAATTGGTGAAGTGAAATAAAAAAAATTACTTACGATCTGGTGCAACCAATTACCTTCAGAAGTCACATAATTAGTTTTTAAAAAGTCCACCTGTGTGCAATCTAAGTGTTACATGATCTGTCACATTTTTGCAAGCCACTGTAAATGGCTATTGTAGCTGGAAATGGCTGATTTTTAATGGAATATCTACAGTGGGGGAAAAAAGTATTTAGTCAGCCACCAATTGTGCAAGTTCTCCCACTTAAAAAGATGAGAGGCCTGTAATTTTCATCATAGGTACACGTCAACTATGACAGACAAAATTAGATTTTTTTTCCCAGAAAATCACATTGTAGGATTTTTAATGACTTTATTTGCAAATTATGGTGGAAAATAAGTATTTGGTCAATAACAAAAGTTTCTCAATACTTTGTTATATACCCTTTGTTGGCAATGACACAGGTCAAACGTTTTCTGTAAGTCTTCACAAGGTTTTCACACACTGTTGCTGGTATTTTGGCCCATTCCTCCATGCAGATCTCCTCTAGAGCAGTGATGTTTTGGGGCTGTCGCTGGGCAACACGGACTTTCAACTCCCTCCAAAGATTTTCTATGGGGTTGAGATCTGGAGACTGGCTAGGCCACTCCAGGACCTTGAAATGCTTCTTACGAAGCCACTCCTTCGTTGCCCGGGCGGTGTGTTTGGGATCATTGTCATGCTGAAAGACCCAGCCACGTTTCATCTTCAATGCCCTTGCTGATGGAAGGAGGTTTTCACTCAAAATCTCACGATACATGGCCCCATTCATTCTTTCCTTTACACGGATCAGTCGTCCTGGTCCCTTTGCAGAAAAACAGCCCCAAAGCATGATGTTTCCACCCCCATGCTTCACAGTAGGTATGGTGTTCTTTGGATGCAACTCAGCATTCTTTGTCCTCTAAACACGACGAGTTTAGTTTTTACCAAAAAGTTATATTTTGGTTTCATCTGACCATATGACATTCTCCCAATCCTCTTCTGGATCATCCAAATGCACTCTAGCAAACTTCAGACGGGCCTGGACATGTACTGGCTTTAGCAGGGGGACACGTCTGGCACTGCAGGATTTGAGTCCCTGGCGGCGTAGTGTGTTACTGATGGTAGGCTTTGTTACTTTGGTCCCAGCTCTCTGCAGGTCATTCACTAGGTCCCCCTGTGTGGTTCTGGGATTTTTGCTCACCGTTCTTGTGATCATTTTGACCACACGGGGTGAGATCTTGCGTGGAGCCCCAGATCGAGGGAGATTATCAGTGGTCTTGTAAATCTTCCATTTCCTAATAATTGCTCCCACAGTTGATTTCTTCAAACCAAGCTGCTTACCGATTGCAGATTCAGTCTTCCCAGCCTGGTGCAGGTCTACAATTTTGTTTCTGGTGTCCTTTGACAGCTCTTTGGTCTTGGCCATAGTGGAGTTTGGAGTGTGACTGTTTGAGGTTGTGGACAGGTGTCTTTAATACTGATAACAAGTTCAAACAGGTGCCATTAATACAGGTAACAAGTGGAGGACAGAGGAGCCTCTTAAAGAAGAAGTTACAGGTCTGTGAGAGCCAGAAATCTTGCTTGTTTGTAGGTGCCCAAATACTTATTTTCCACCATAATTAGCAAATAAATTCATTAAAAATCCTACAATGTGATTTTCTGGAAAAAAAAATCTCATTTTGTCTGTCATAGTTGACGTGTACCTATGATGAAAATTACAGGCCTCTCTCATCTTTTTAAGTGGGAGAACTTGCACAATTGGTGGCTGACTAAATACTTTTTTTCCCCCACTGTACTTCTCAGACTAAGAAAACGTATAGTTTGCCATTCAGCAGCTCTGTGCTGTATTTTATCCAGGTTACCATTGGGGTGAAGCCTAGGACCCCTGTCACTAACGAGGAACAATGGCACTCCATTTCTCCAAGCTACACCTATTTTGGATTCAGACGTTCCTGTTGAGAGAATGTCTAGCATGCTTTCCTCCCTCCACTCATCTCCCCTCCTCTCTCCCTCCAGACATTTTTAGCAGTCTAATCTAATCAAACATGTGGGCACTCTGAAAGGACAAATCCATAGATTGTGATTTGCTGTCTCTCTCTCACTATTATTCAAGTACGCAGCTAATATAGAAAATGCTACAGTCAGAGACTGCACAAAGATTCTTTGACAGGGGGTGCAGGATTTATTTATTTATTTTTAGATATGTTTCTGCTTATAATTCAGAAATGTTGGTAGGCTATTTGTTAGTCAACTTGTCTATAATTAGATACATGCTTCTTCTCTTCTGTCATATGTTGTCCTAGAAGACTAAATCAACTCTTGCTCACCAGAATGTCAAACATGAATGCTTTAATCTAGTTGACATTGGTAAAGTTTGCTCTGTTATCTCTGCGTCTTTAATGGAGCAAAGACGTTTAGAGACCGGGAAGAAAATGCAATAACCCCCAAAAAATGGCGATTTTTTCTGTGCAAAATTTCCAAATGACATCAGTTTGACTGGTTGTAAGGAACTAGAAAGCTGTGAAAATGACCCAACATGTTTCTGATAAGATATCAGTTTGGCTTTGATGCATCTTTTATGTGGTTGAAATTATATCAGCTTTTATGCTGCTGAAACTGCACCTCTACTGATGTGTCTAACTGTGCATTAGCATTCTCTCAAGCAGCTCTGGAGTAATGCAGGTGCTTACCGGGGCTGAAGCCCCTTGTATGTATTATACAGTGCCTTCGGAAAGTATTCAGACCCCTTGGAGCGTGCCCTTGCAGACTGTAAAGTAGCAGTAACGTTCAGAGGTAAACCCCTTGCCATCAGATTAGATATTTCAGGGGCCAAGCCCACAGATTCCAAATCTCTGGCTGTGGGTGCTAGACCTGCCCCGGGTCCCTGTGCAACTGGAGTTGCCATGGTCCCTGCCTAAAAGGCGAATGATATCCACGAATCAAGGTCATTTGGGCCAACGGGGAGCCACAAGGATCAATGACAAACCCTTCCAATGCACCCTCACAAGTGTCGGCTGAATCAGGTCCACAGGGGGAAACGAGTTAATTAGATTGCACCTCTACTGATGTGTCTAACTGTGCATTAGCATTCTCTCAAGCAGCTCCGGAGTAATGCAGGGGCTTACCGGGGCTGAAGCCCCTTGTATGTATTATACAGTGCCTTCGGAAAGTATTCAGACCCCTTGACTTTTTCCACATTTTGTTAGGTTACAGCCTTATTCTAAAATTGATTAAATTGTTTTTCCCCCCTCATCAATCTACACACAATACCCCATAATGACAAAGCAAAAACAGGCTTTTAGAAATATTTGCTAATTTTTTTAAAATACAAAACTTAAATATCACATTTACATAAGTATTCAGACCCTTAACTCAGCACTTTGTAGAAGCACATTTGGCAGCAATTACAGCCTTGAGTCTTCTAGTGCATGTGGTTTACTTTTTTGGTTACTACATGATTCCATATGTGTTAATTCATAGTTTTGATGTTTTCATTAATATTCTACAATGTAAAAACATTTAAAAATAAAAACCCTTGAATGAGTAAGTGTGTCCAAACTTTTGACTGATACTGTGTGTGTGTGTGTGTGTGTGTGTGTGTGTGTGTGTGTGTGTGTGTGTGTGTGTGTGTGTGTATATATATATATATATATATATATATATGTATGTACAGTGAGGGAATTAAGTATTTGATCACCTGCTGATTTTATACGTTTGCCCACTGACAAAAACATGATCAGTCTATAATTTTTATGGTAGGTTTATTTGAACAGTGAGAGACAGAATAACTACAAAAAAATCCAGAAAAACACATGTCAAAAATGTTAAAGTGATTTGCATTTTAATGAGGGAAATAAGTATTTGAACCCTCTGCAAAACATGACTTAGTACTTGGTGGCAAAACCCTTGTTGGCAATCACAGAGGTCAGACATTTCTTGAAGTTGGCCACCAGGTTTACACACATCTCAGGAGGGATTTTGTCCCACTCCTCTATGCAGATCTTCTCCAAGTCATTAAGGTTTCGAGGCTGACGTTTGGCAACTCGAACCTTCAGCTCCCTCCACAGATTATCTATGGGATTAAGGTCTGGAGACTGGCTAGGCCACTCCAGGACCTTAATGTGCTTCTTCTTGAGCCACTCCTTTGTTGCCTTTGCCGTGTGTTTTGGGTCATTGTCATGCTGGAATACCCATCCACGACCCATTTTCAATGCCCTGGCTGAGGGAAGGAGGTTCTCACCCAAGATTTGACGGTACATGGCCCCGTCCATCGTCCCTTTGATGCGGTGAAGTTGTCCTGTCCTCTTAGCAGAAAAACACCCCCAAAGCATAATGTTTCCACCTCCATGTTTGACAGTGGGGATGGTGTTCTTGGGGTCATAGGCAGCATTCCTCCTCCTCCAAACACGGCGAGTTGAGTTGATGCCAAAGAGCTTGATTTTGGTGTCATCTGACCACAACACTTTCACCCAGTTCTCCTCTGAATCATTCAGATGTTCATTAGCAAACTTCAGACGGGCCTGTATATGTGCTTTCTTGAGCAGGGGGACCTTGCGGGCGCTGCAGGATTTCAGTTCTTCACGGCGTAGTGTGTTACCAATTGTTTTCTTGGTGACTATGGTCCCAGCTGCCTTGAGATCATTGACAAGATCCTCCCGTGTAGTTCTGGGCTGATTCCTCACCGTTCTCATGATCATTGCAACTCCACAAGGTGAGATCTTGCATGGAGACCCAGGCTGAGGGAGATTGACAGTTATTTTGTGTTTCTTCCATTTGCGAATAATCGCACAAACTGTTGTCACCTTCTCACCAAGCTGCTTGGCGATGGTCTTGTAGCCCATTCCAGCCTTGTGTAGGTCTGCAATCTTGTCCCTGACATCCTTGGAGAGCTCGTTGGTCTTGGCCATGGTGGAGAGTTTGGAATCTGATTGATTGATTGCTTCTGTGGACAGGTGTCTTTTATACAGGTAACAAGCTGAGATTAGGTGCACTCCCTTTAAGAGTGTGCTCCTAATCTCAGCTCGTTACCTGTATAAAAGTCACCTGGGAGCTGTTGTGTAAACTGTTCATATGTATAATATATATATATATATATATATGTGTGTATAAAATATATATACACTACCTTTCAAAAGTTTGGGGTCACTTACAAATGTCCTTGTTTTCGAAAGAAAAGCATTTTTTGTCCATATAAAATAACATCAAATTGATCAGAAATACAGTGTAGACATTGTTAATGTTGTAAATGGCTATTGTAGCTGGAAACCGCTTATTTTTTTATGGAATATCTACATAGGCGTACAGAGGCCCATTATCAGCAACCATCATGCCTGTTTTCCAATGGCACGTTGTGTTTGCTAATCCAAGTTTATCATTTTAAAAGGCTAATTGATCATTAGAAAACCCTTTTGCAATTATTTTAGCACAGCTGAAAACTGTTGTTCTGATTTAAAGAAGTAATAAAACTGGCCTTCTTGAGACTAGTTGAGTATCTGGAGCATCAGCAATTGTGGGTTCGATTACAGGCGCAAAATGGCCAGAAGCAAAGAACTTTCTTCTGAAACTCATCAGTCTATTCTTGTTCTGAGAAATGAAGGCTATTCCATGCGAGAAATTGCCAAGAAACTGAAGATCTCGTACATTGCTGTGTACTACTCCTTCACAGAACAGCGCAAACGGGCTCTAACCAGAATAGAAAGAGGAGTGGGAGGCCCCGGTGCACAACTGAGCAAGAGGACAGTGTCTAGTTTGAGAAACAGGTGCCTCACAGGTCCTCAACTGGCAGCTTCATTAAATAGTACCCGCAAAACACCAGTCTCAACGTCAACAGTGAAGAGGCGACTCCGGGATGCTGACCTTCTAGGCAGAGTTGCAAAGAAAAAGCCATATCTCAGACTGCCCATCTTAATCTTTTATTTTTATTGGCCAGTCTGAGATATGGCTTTTTCTTTGCAACTCTGCCTAGAAGGTCAGCATCCCAGAGTCCCCTCTTCACTGTTGACGTTGAGACTGGTGTTTTCTGTGTGTCGCTTCATTGGCCTGGGCTATAGTTTGTTTCAAGACCAGGTTGATCTCAGTTTGTAGCCACTCATTTAGTTAATTTGTGTATAATTAAAAAAGTTTCAGCTTACAGTGGCTTGCGAAAGTATTCACCCCCCTTGGCATTTTTCCTATTTTGTTGCCTTACAACCTGGAATTAAAATAGATTTTTTGGGGGAGTTTGTATCATTTGATTTACACAACATGCCTACCACTTTGAAGATGCAAAATATTTTTTGTTGTGAAACAAACAAGAAATAAGAGAAAAAAACAGAACTTGAGCGTGCATAACTATTCACCCCCCCCCCCAAAGTCAATACTTTGTAGAGCTACCTTTTGCAGAAATTACAGCTGCAAGTCTCTTGGGGTATGTCTCTATAAGCTTGGCATATCTAGCCACTGGGATTTTTGCCCATTCTTCAAGGCAAAATTGCTCCAGCTCCTTCAAGTTGAATGGGCTCCGCTGGTGTACAGCAATCTTTAAGTCATACCACAGATTCTCAATTGGATTGAGGTCTGGGCTTTGTCTAGGCCATTCCAAGACATTTAAATGTTTCCCCTTAAACCACTCAAGTCTTGCTTTAGCAGTATGCTTAGGGTCATTGTCCTGCTGGAAGGTGAACCTCCGTCCCAGTCTCAAATCTCTGGAAGACTGAAAGGTTTCCCTCAAGAATTTCCCTGTATTTAGCGCCATCCATCATTCCTTCAATTCTGACCAGTTTCCCAGTCCCAATGAAAAACGTCCCCACAGCATGATGCTGCCACCACCATGCTTCACTGTGGGGATGGTGTTCTCTGGGTGATGAGAGGTGTTGGATTTGCGCCAGACATAGTATTTTCCTTGATGGCCAAAAAGCAAAATGTTAGTCTCATCTGACTAGAGTACCTTCTTCCATATGTTTGGGGAGTCTTCCCACATACCTTTTGGCAAACACCAAATGTGTTTGCTTATTTTTTTCTTTAAGCAATGGCTTTTTTCTGGCCACTCTTTCTTAAAGCCCAGCTCTGTGGAGTGTACGGCTTAAAGTGGTTCTATGGACAGATACTCCAATCTCCGCTGTGGAGCTTTGCAGCTCCTTAAGGGTGATTTTTGGTCTCTTTGTTCCCTCTCTGATTAATGCCCTCCTTGCCTGGTCCGTGAGTTTTTGTGGGCGGCCCTCTCTTGGCAGGTTTGTTGTGGTGCCATATTCTTTCCATTTTTTAATAATGGATTTAATGGTGGTCCGTGGGATGTTCAAAGTTTCAGGTATTTTTTTATAACCCAACCCTGATCTGTAATTCTCCACAACTTAGTCCCTGACCTGTTTGGAGAGCTCCTTGGTCTTCATGGTGCCGCTTGCTTGGTGGTGCCCTTTGCTTATTGGTGTTGCAAACTCTGGGGCCTTTCAGAACAAGTGTGTGTACAGTGGGGGAAAGAAGTATTTAGTCAGCCACCAATTGTGCAAGTTCTCCCACTTAAAAATATGAGAGAGGCCTGTAATTTTCATCATAGGTACACGTCAACTATGAAAGACAAATGGAGACTTTTTTTCCCAGAAAATCACATTGTAGGATTTTTAATAAATTTATTTGCAAATTATGGTGGAAAATACGTATTTGGTCACCTACAAACAAGCAAGATTTCTGGCTCTCACAGACCTGTAACTTCTTCTTTAAGAGGCTCCTCTGTCCTCCACTCGTTACCTGTATTAATGGCACCTGTTTGAACTTATCAGTATAAAAGACACCTGTCCACAACCTCAAACAGTCACACTCCAAACTCCACTATGGCCAAGACCAAATAGCTGTCAAAGGACACCAGAAACAAAATTGTAGACCTGCACCAGGCTGGGAAGACTGAATCTGCAATAGGTAAGCAGCTTGGTTTTAAGAAATCAACTGTGGGAGCAGTTATTAAGAAATGGAAGACATACAAGACCACTGATAATCTCCCTTGATCTGGGGCTCCACGCAAGATCTCACCCCGTAAAAACTCAACTCGTCGTGTTTGGAGGACAAAGAATGCTGAGTTGCATCCAAAGAACACCATACCTACTGTGAAGCATGGGGGTGGAAACATCATGATTTGGGGCTGTTTTTCTGCAAAGGGACCAGGACGACTGATCTGTGTAAAGGAAAGAATGAATGGGGCCATGTATCGTGAGATTTTGAGTGAAAACCTCCTTCCATCAGCAAGGGCATTGAAGATGAAACGTGGCTGGGTCTTTCAGCATGACAATGATCCCAAACACACCGCCCGGGCAACGAAGGAGTGGCTTCGTAAGAAGCATTTCAAGGTCCTGGAGTGGCCTAGCCAGTCTCCAGATCTCAACCCCATAGAAAATCTTTGGAGGGAGTTGAAAGTCCGTGTTGCCCAGCGACAGCCCCAAAACATCACTGCTCTAGAGGAGATCTGCATGGAGGAATGGGCCAAAATACCAGCAACAGTGTGTGAAAACCTTGTGAAGACTTACAGAAAACGTTTGACCTGTGTCATTGCCAACAAAGGGTATATAACAAAGTATTGAGAAACTTTTGTTATTGACCAAATACTTATTTTCCACCATAATTTGCAAATAAATTCATTAAAAATCCTACAATGTGATTTTCTGGAGAAAAAAATTCTCATTTTGTCTGTCATAGTTGACGTGTACCTATGATGAAAATTACAGGCCTCTCATCTTTTTAAGTGGGAGAACTTGCACAATTGGTGGCTGACTAAATACTTTTTTTCCCCACTGTAGATATTCCATTAAAAATCAGCCATTTCCAGCTACAATAGCCATTTACAGTGGCTTGCAAAAATGTGACAGATCATGTAACACTTAGATTGCACACAGGTGGACTTTTTTAAAACTAATTATGTGACTTCTGAAGGTAATTGGTTGCACCAGATCTGAAGTAAAAAAAAATATTTCACTTCACCAATTTGGACTATTTTGTGTATGTCCATTACATGAAATACAAATCCATTTAAATTACAGGTTGTAATGCAACAAAATAGGAAAAACGCCAAGGGGGATGAATACTTTTGCAAGGCACTGTATGGCTTGTATCATGTAACTGATGTAGAATTGAATGAAATGTGTTTTTAAAAAAATCCACCCTAAATCTGATCCTGCTAACAAATGTTCCCCATGTGTGGAAATCCTAAAAACACCTCTGATTAAGTGTAGCCTATGCCATATCGCAAAATGTATTATGGCTTCATTATAAAGGGGCTTTTTCTTCAGCAGTAAATTTACCACGCATCTTGGTGCACGGATTTGTTTACAGAAAATGATTGTGTGCCGGGAAGTGGGGTTAGGTAATTCCCGCCTTTTGCTGTCATATGCCAGAGCCGGATTAGCAAAACAGACAACCGGTTGGTCACCCCGGTCCGCTCAATGTACATGCACAATGCTCGTACCGGACACAGGGCATGTATCCGCTGCTCCTCAGAAACAAACAGACTTGTAGGTGAGGATCTTCAGATTCAGACTCCATGCATAATGCTCGTACCAAACACAGGGCATGTAACCTCCTACTGCTCCTCAGAAACAATAGATTTAGAAACCGGCCTGAGATGCAAATAAAATCATTAAAAATCCTACAATGTGATTTTCTGGAGAAAAAAAATCTCATTTTGTCTGTCATAGTTGACGTGTACCTATGATGAAAATTACAGGCCTCTCTCATCTTTTTAAGTGGGAGAACTTGCACAATTGGTGGCTGACTAAATACTTTTTTCCCCCACTGTAGTGTTGATTACCTCTCGTCCTCATCGGTCTTTAATCTCCCTTTATAAGGATCAGATCACATCTCTACATCTTTTAGTCCGAGTTATATTGAGAAATCTTTCATTTGACTAATCTTTGACTAATATAATTGCAGTGGGTGGACCATGGAAAATCATGTGGAAACCATTATATTTCTTCATCCCAATCAATCAATTAATTAATCAACAAATCAATCACCTGGTACACCAGGTTACAACCTTTGACCTCCACCTACCTGAAGAGCAGCAGAATCACCACGGCGATGGACAGGAAGACCAGGGAGGTGCCATAGCCAATGGAGTAGATCAGCTTCACCGTGGCAAAGTATGACTCCTGCATGGGTTTCACATACAGTTAGAGGGAAGCAGACATCACAGTCTCAGAGTAGGAGTGCTGATCTAGGATCAGGTCTGACCGTGTGCCCTGTCCATATAATGTTATTCGTTATGAACTAAAAAGCCAAACTGATCCTATACCAGCATTCCAACTTTGACTGTTTGTAAATATGGGCCCAGCTTCCTGCAAAAGTTGGCATTTATAAAAACTGAAAATGTCCTTACCTCCACGCAAACTTTAGATCTTGTGTACATACATTTTCTAGTGGTTGAAGTATTGTATTGCAAGCAGACAAGTAAGTATTTTGTGAAAATGGGGGATATGACAGGCTTATCCAGAAAAAAATATTATTTTTTAACAGGAAAACATAATAACAAGATGCAGCAATTTGACGTTAGTGAGAAGTGCGAAAATCTGTGTTTTATTTTTGGATTTAAAATATTTAGACTTGGGAATATATTTCCTTTTTATTTTATTTTCATAACCATTGCAGAATAAATTCCTCACCTTTTCTGGCTGTGATGGGTTCATATTCCGAAAGAATCCATACAACAAATTACCATGCGCATCTCTCATTTAATTGTCCATAACAATTGTCCATAGTTTTTTATTTCAGAAACTGTCACAGTCCTTTGCCAAATACAGCATAAGTTATTGCAAAAGATTAAAACATTCTGCCAACACCTCCAAAAACATTTGATCAAATTTGCCATTGCTCTTTCTTTTAGAAACTGCTGTGGCCTAATTCCAATAGTTCCAAATTATACTGCAAATAAACAGTTTTATTGTCACCATAAAAGGTGAATGGAGACGGAGTTATAATGCTTGTTCACGCACGCACAGTATTAGGATGGATCTTATTGATAACAGACATGCATGTGCATGCGCCAAGTTTATAAATCTCAACATTTTGAGACGTATCCTTTTCAGAAATTGTGCACTCAGATATTTAGTGTAAAATTTAAACAACATTTATAAATGAGGCCTTAGGACTTGTATTCATGGTGCCTCTCATAATATGAGTGCTGATCTAGGATCAGTTCTGCCTTTTAAATCATACTGAATATGATTGTATGGACAGACGGACCTGATCCTAGATCAGTACTCCTTCTCTGAGACATATAAACCCTGCTAACTGTCTCTTAATCATATCATTATTCATGACTCATACAGTGGGGGAAAAAAGTATTTAGTCAGCCACCAATTGTGCAAGTTCTCCCACTTAAAAATATGAAAGAGGCCTGTAATTTTCATCATAGGTACATGTCAACTATGACAGACAAATTGAGAATTTTTTTTCCAGAAAATCACATTGTAGGATTTTTAATGAATTTATTTGTAAATTATGGTGGAAAATAAGTATTTGGTCACCTACAAACAAGCAAGATTTCTGGCTCTCACAGACCTGTAACTTCTTTAAGAGGCTCCTCTGTCCTCCACTCGTTACCTGTATTAATGGCACCTGTTTGAACTTGTTATCAGTATAAAAGACACCTGTCCACAACCTCAAACAGTCACACTCCAAACTCCACTATGGCCAAGACCAAAGAGCTGTCAAAGGACACCAGAAACAAAATTGTAGACCTGCACCAGGCTGGGAAGACTGAATCTGCAATAGGTAAGCAGCTTGGTTTGAAGAAATCAACTGTGGGAGCAATTATTAGGAAATGGAAGACATACAAGACCACTGATAATCTCCCTCGATCTGGGGCTCCACGCAAGATCTCACCCCGTGGGGTCAAAATGATCACAAGAACGGTGAGCAAAAATCCCAGAACCACACAGGGGGACCTAGTGAATGACCTGCAGAGAGCTGGGACCAAAGTAACAAAGCCTACAATCAGTAACACACTACGCCGCCAGGGACTCAAATCCTGCAGTGCAAGACGTGTCCCCCTGCTTAAGCCAGTACATGTCCAGGCCCATCTGAAGTTTGCTAGAGTGCATTTGGATGATCCAGAAGAGGATTGGGAGAATGTCATATGGTCAGATGAAACCAAAATAGAACTTTTTGGTAAAAACTCAACTCGTCGTGTTTGGAGGACAAAGAATGCTGAGTTGCATCCAAAGAACACCATACCTACTGTGAAGCATGGGGGTGGAAACATCATGCTTTGGGGCTGTTTTTCTGGAAAGGGACCAGGACGACTGATCCGTGTAAAGGAAAGAATGAATGGGGCCATGTATCGTGAGATTTTGAGTGAAAACCTCCTTCCATCAGCAAGGGCATTGAAGATGAAACGTGGCTGGGTCTTTCAGCATGACAATGATCCCAAACACACCGCCCGGGCAACGAAGGAGTGGCTTTGTAAGAAGCATTTCAAGGTCCTGGAGTGGCCTAGCCAGTCTCCAGATCTCAACCCCATAGAAAATCTTTGGAGGGAGTTGAAAGTCCGTGTTGCCCAGCGACAGCCCCAAAACATCACTGCTCTAGAGGAGATCTGCATGGAGGAATGGGCCAAAATACCAGCAACAGTGTGTGAAAACCTTGTAAAGCTTACAGAAAACGTTTGACCTGTGTCATTGCCAACAAAGGGTATATAAAGTATTGAGAAACTTTTGTTATTGACCAAATACTTATTTTCCACCATAATTTGCAAATAAATTCATTAAAAATCCTACAATGTGATTTTCTGGAGAAAAAAAAATCTCATTTTGTCTGTCATAGTTGACGTGTACCTATGATGAAAATTACAGGCCTCTCTCATCTTTTTAAGTGGGAGAACTTGCACAATTGGTGGCTGACTAAATACTTTTTTTCCCCACTGTACATCTGCGCATCCAAGTGATTCATCATAACATAATCCGCTCATGTTTACCGAACGAAAACTAGGCTATTCAGGTTGCCAATCAAATCGTGCCTTCATGGATATGGTTGAGTTTAACTGTGGTACTGATTATGTGAAGATACAAAAATCCAAGCCAAATCCTCCAATCTGGTTTACAGGAATGATCCACTAGACAAAGAAAATACAATCCATCCTCACTCTTTGAAGGATAGAAAGGATAGAAATTAATTAATTACTACGCTATAAAATTCTACAGAAATGAGGGACAATTAGATATGGATAGACTCTCCAAATCGGTATTGTTCCAAATAACATTATCGTTCCAAAATTGAAATTACATGGTCATTATATTCCATTGAAATCAAATTCCAATAACATTATACACACTTGGAAATATTTACAAATGAGAGACTATTACATATGAATAGACTGTCCAAATCGTTATCGTTCCGTTGTTGAAATGACATGGGGTGTAGTCCACTTAAATTGACTACTCAATCAGTAGTGAGTAGGCTAATGAATAATCAAAATATCTAAATTTAACAATGGATACTCAACCCTCCGCAAACAACCCCTTCATTAGTTATTATGTGTGCCATAATTGCATTTGATTCCAACATAGATTTGCAGTACAGGCGGATGTAAGTCAACAGACTTATGCAATTTCCAACAGCAGGAAGCAATTTCATATGGTAAAATGTAGGATGTTTCAATTCAACTGTCTGCAACAGATGATTGTTGATTGCTTTTCTGGAGTCCAAACTTTGAATCCTGTCCACTAATATCATTCATGAAACACTCAAATGTCTATCCATTTTACAAGTAAACTACCAGAATTTTGGTATCTTTCAAGTATTTTATGTAATCTATCACAAGACGTCGAGTAGCCCTGTTGGGTACTTCAGATTATCACAGTTGTGGTGTCTGTAATTTTCTCTGGCCCTCTGTGTGGCCTTAATCACATGTAAAATATATAAAACAATTAAATAAGATGATATTTTTTATTTTATTTTAAGCTGTAAAACATTATCATAAATATAAACCATCAACTTAGTGAATACTATTAGTGTTTAGTATGAGGGTTTCAGTATGAAATATCCTTTATATTTTTATTTACACACTTTTATTTATTTTACTATGTCAATATGTATTTGTTGTCAATGTTTTGGTGTCAAACTGGTGGCTGTTGTGAACAGTCAATAGTTGGATGAGACGCACAGGTAATTGAAAATAATGCCATTGTTGATTAGATGCTTTTTTCATTAATTAGGCTATTTTTTCTTGAACCATATGGTCTATGTACAAAAAAAACAAAAAAAATGAATACAATATATGAATACATATTTTTAAGTTATTCAAGTATAAATTACCAAAGTTACGATAGATTGCTATAGATTTTCTGTTAAATACCAAAATGACTGAAGATTTCAGTAACTTTGGTAACTTACCGGTAGCTTTGCAACCCTAGTCAGGGCTCACTTCCCTTAGTAAACAGTAGGAATCAAGCTAGGGAGATTGTAGTCCATGACTATGGGTAAAATGTTCTTGCATGGCCCTATTAATTATTTCAGATCAAAATGCATGTGGCATTGTTTCAAACCAAATACTGTCACAACACATTGATATAGGTACAGTTCAGTCGATTGCATTGACAGACAACAGCTGTAAAGCTATTGTTAGTAAAAAACAGTACACTGCCGATACTCATGATGACCCCCTGACCCTTCTCTCTAAACTCTCTCTCTCACCTCTGGAATGTGAATGTTGTCGTCCACACTACAGGCTATGTGGTAAGGGGGGAAGGGTCGAGACCATCCGATGCTAGTGCAGTTTCGGCTGACTGACCCTGCTGAGGTAGAGGTCAAAGGTTAGGAGTCACCTGTGATGAGAAACAGAAGCCCCATGAGGGGCGGGACTATGGGCTGTCAGTCACTGCAACTGACAAGGATTGGAAGCCAGTGGAAATGGACAGAGAGAATTACTGTAAAAAGAGAAAACCATAACATAGTACCTGTATGTCATTGTATATTATATGTATACTTTATACAGTACATCATGGTATCTCCACCCACTGCACACACACACCTTCCCCCCAGTGACAAATGTCAACTGCACCTGTGTTATTCCCAAAAAGAGAGAAGACAGCAGGACAGGCAATGTGGAATGTCTCCCCAACCGCAGCATAGGGCCAACACACTACAGAGTCCCAGAACGGTAGACAACCTTCAGGAGAGAGAGTGAGAGTAAGAGAGGGAGAGAGACAGAGACAGAGAGGGAAGATTAGAGCGCGAAAGAGAGACAGAGAGGGAAGATTAGAGCGCGAAAGAGAGACAGAGAGGGAAGATTAGAGCACGAAAGAGAGAGAGAGAGAGAGAGAGAGAGAAAGAGAGAAAGAGAGAGAGATAAAGGTGATGTATGGTCTACTCAGTTACCTGTAAGTTTCTGTTTAAAAAAAGGTACAGTATGTTACCATAAATTCCAAATAAACTTTGGTTTAGCAGTACATTACTGTAAATGTACAGTGATCAGTAGAGGCTGCTGAGGGGAGGACGGCTCATAATAATGTCTGGAATGGAGCAAATGGAATGGCATCAAACACATGGAAACCATGTGTTTGATTTATTTGATACAATTCCACTGATTCCGCTCCAGCCATTACCACAAGCCTGTCCTCCCCAATTAAGGTGCCACCAACCTCCTGTGACAGTGATGTACTGTTAAACCAACGTTTATTTGGAATTTACGGTAACATACTGTACCTTTGTAAGTTGTAAGTTACCGTAAAAACAACAGGATTTTTTCAGTGTACTTAATCAAAACATAATACCTCACTCACAGCCAGGAATTGAGTCTTGCTATAAATTACATACATATCTTATGTCCTCTCTTTTGACATAATGCACTTATTTATTTTTCCACTACGATAGCTTTTCCCTCTGAATCTGTTCTTTCAATGAATGATTCTCTGCAAACCATGTATTCAATGCCAGACTCTCATATTTAGATGTGAACATATATCATATTATGACAATCTATACTCGAGATCTAATCTATGAACTGTAAACTGGAGTGAGAAAATGTAATGGGTGATTCTTGGAGGATAATGTCACGGATACCTAGTGTACTGTGGTTCTGCAATGTATCGAAGTTAAAAAGTAGTGTACTGTTTTCAACTGTACTGTGGTTCTGCTCTGCAATGTATCTTAGACAACGCTGCTCCTCTCTCTCCAGCTGAAAGATGTACTCGCAGTCTGGGTGCAGACTCGGCAGAACCTGGCGAGAGAGGGGGGCAGAGAGAGGGGGGGGGGGGGGGGGGGGCAGAGACAAACAGAGCACGAAAGAGTAAGGCAACAATTGGAACAAAAATGTTAACCATTGAGACAAAACTAAATCATTCTCACCAGAAGTGTATGGAAGAACACTCAAGTCTCCCTCCAGCAACCCACCTACATGGCTATTGAAGTAAGGAACAAATGTACTGTCTACCGGCTGAGGTGTTTGCACATTTTATGATTAAGTGCACCCAGTTTTTAATGGCATATTTCAAATATGAATTAAAAACAACGCTACCAACTGGTGGTGGAGTCCGATAGAGGTACCGGTTTAGATATGTGCAACTGTCCCGGAGTCCCAATTAGAGGACGTAGAATGACCCAACCTGGTCTCAGAACATTTCGTATTATTATGTACATAAATCCGAGACACTCCATTTAGTATGACATGTTACGTTTCTTATGGTGCTAATTTGTGGATGTCCATCACCCATTTAATATGGTACATTATGTAACGAATGAGAATTTGTATTATATGTTACAAATTTGCAAACTTACAATATGTTACAAATTTGCAAAAAAGTATGATGTGTTTCAAATTCTAGCAAGGTGGCTAACTTTAGCTAGGCTAGGGGTTAGGGTTAAGGTTAGGGTTACGATTATGAGTTTGGTTAAAAGGAAAGGTTTGGGTTAAGGAAGGGGAAGGGGAAGGGTTAGCGAAAAGGGTTAATTTTAGGCTTAGGGGAAGGGTTAGCTAACATGCTAAGTAGTTGCAAAGTAGCAAAAAATTAGTAAGTAGTTGAAAAGTTGCTAATTAGCTAAAATGCTAAAGTTGTCCGTGATGAGATTTGAAATCGCAACCTTTGGGTTGCTAGACGTTCGCGTTATACGCCCACCCAGGCTAGGCCACTGATTGGTTAAACGGGTGTCACATGACTACAGTCAGGAGAGAGTTCCATCAGGCTCCCTAGCAGCCTGCCTAGCAACAGAGGTGTGAATTGCCCTCTACTGCAAGACATTAGTCAGGATCTGGTCGGGGGATGGTAATCTACTTGAGGTCACAAAGTTTCTGTCTGTAAGACAGGCTGAGGGAGGAGGGTTTTCTACAACTGCCCCAACATGTAAATTGTACATTTTTAATTATTAAATTTATTTTATCTTTATTTAACTAGTCAAGTCAGTTAAGAACAAATTCTTATTTACAAATGGGACTCCCAATCACGGCCGGTTGTGATACAGCCTGGAATCGAACCAGGGGGTCTGTAGTGATGCCTTAAGCACTGAGATGCAGTGCCTTAGACCGCTGTGCCACTCTGTAAACCCACTTACATCTCTTTTTGTCTAGCAAAATGTTTGTGGAAGGTACTATGCAGCGCACAGACCCCCACGCGCAATCAACTTTGTTGAGATACGTTGAGTTTACTTGAGTTTCCTTGTAGGCCTATTTGCTGGGGGAAATGTGTAAATACCGTATACCGGGGTATTTGGAAAAAGCAACAGGATGTTTTTTTAATGCCATCAATTCTTTCAAAACTATTTATTTGAAGTTTTTTAATACATTTGAATATTTGCAGCTACTTTTAAGTTTAATACCTGCAGTCAACCTGTGAAATACATTAGGAAATAAAGCGGATTGCGTTCTTCAAGTCATCTGTCACATTATGAAGTATACCGTAGTCCCCCAGAACAGTGGAGCCAGTCATGTGTTTGTTTGTAAATAGCACAATGGGAGCTGGCGAGTTCATAGCGTTCTATATCTATCGGTGAGTCTCTGTTGTGCGGTGCACATGAGGTGATGAAGTTACACTTGTATGCAATTCACTACTAAATGTTTGTCATTCATATATCTTATAATGGCTTTCTGCCAGAAGTCAAAGAGCTCTGGATTTACCTGTCTTTGCAATTAATTATGTTCGTTTTCGCTCGTTAGCATTTAGCTAACAGCGTCTATGTGATTTCGCTATTAGTTTGTGCTAATTCTGTTAGCATTCTGGTAATATAGGCCCAATGGGCTTTTCTTGCATTTTTAGCGCCCCTTGTGTGCTATGCCGGTAATGTTATAAATCCCGGGATGAGAGAAGGATGGTATGACGATATGAAAATCTGGATACCACCCAAGCCTACTGTATAGCCTTTTGCTTGTTTCTGTTTGAGTCTTTTATTAAATGTGAAACAATGTCAAATAAAATAGTTATTGTCATATGCTACATAAACAACAGGTGTAGACTAACAGTGAAATACTTACAACAATGCAGAATACAATAAAAAAATAAAAATAGTAACACAAGGACTAAATAAATACACAATGCGCAATGATACAGTAGCTTGGCAGTATACATGGGGTACTAGTACCGAGTCGATGTGCAAAGGTACGAGCAAATTGAGATAGATATGTACATAGAGGTAGGGGTAAAGTGACTAGGAAACAGGATAGATAAGACAGTAGCAGCAGCATATGTGATGTGTGGAAGTGTGTGTGTGGTGAATGTGTGATATGATGATGATGATATGCCATTTAGCAGACACTTTTATCCAAAGCGACTTACAGTCATGCGTGCATACATTTTTGTGTATGGGTGGTCCCGGGGATCGAACCCACTACCTTGGCGTTACAAGCGCCGTGCTCTACCAGCTGAGCTACAGAGGACCACGTGCCTGTGTATACGTGTTATGTGTGAGTGACTGTGTGTATGTGTATGTTTTGGAGTGTCAGTATGTTTGAGTGTGTGGGTAGAGTCCAGTGTGTGTGCATAGAGTCAAAAATAGTTAGTGCAAAAAGGGTCAATGCAGATAGTCCGGGTAGCTATTTGGTTAACTTTTTAGTAGTCTTATGGCTTGGGGGTAGAAGCTGTTCAGGAGCCTTAGTGCTCCGGTACTGTTTGCAGTGCGGTAGCAGAGAGAACAGTCTATGACATGGGTGGCTGGAGTCTTCTACACTTTTTAGGGCCTTCCTCTAACACCGACTGATACAGAGTTTCTGGGTGGCAGGGAGTTCGGCCCCAGTGATGTACTGGGTTGTGCGCATTACCCACTGTAGCACCTTGTGGTCGGATGCCGCCGAGTGATGTACTGGGTTGTGCACATTACCCACTGTAGTGCCTTGTGGTCGGATGCCGAGCAGTTGCCATACCAAGCAGTGATGCAGCCAGTCAAGATGCTCTCAACGGTGCAGCTGTAGAAGTTTGAGGATCTGAGGGCCCATAACAAATATTTTCAGCCTCCTGAGGGGGAAGAGGCATTTTGTCCTGTCCTCTTCACAACTGTGATAGTTCCATAGCAATGTGGACACAGAGGAACTTGAAGCTCTCGACCCGCTACACTACAGCCCCGACGATGTGAATGGGGGAGTCTTCGGCCATCCGTTTCCTGTAGTCCACGATCAGCTCCTTTGTCTTTCCCACGGTGAAGGAGAGGTTGTTGTCCTGGCACCACACTGCCAGGTCTCTGATCTCCTCCCTATAGGCTGTCTCATCGTCGTTGGTGATCAGGCCTACCAGTGTCGTGTCATCAGCAAACTTGATGATGGTGTTGGAGTTGTGCACGGCCACGCAGTCGTGGGTGAACAGGGAGTACAGGAGGGGAATAGGCACGCAACCTTGAGGGGCCCCCGTGTTGAGGGTCAGCGTTGCGGATGTGCCTACCCTCACCACCTGGGGGTAGCACGTCAGGAAGCTAGGATCCAGTTGCAGAGGGAGGCGTTCAGTCTCAGTGACCTTAGCTTAGTGATGAGCTTGGAGGGCACTGTGGTGTTGAATGCTGAGCTGTAGTCTATGTAGGTGTTCCTTTTGTCCAGGTGGGAAAGGTCAGTGTGGAGTGCAATAGAGATTGCGTCATCTGTGGATCTGTTGGGGCGGTATGCGAATTGTAGTGGGTCCAGGGTTTCTGGGATGATGGTGTTGATGTGAGCCATGACCAGCCTTTCAAAGCATTTCATGGCTACAGATGTGAGCACTACGGGCGGTAGTCATTTAGAAAGGTTACCGTGGCATTCTTGGCACAGGGACTATGATGGTCTGCTTGAAACATGTAGGTATTACAGACTGGGTCAGGGAGAGGTTGGAAATGTCAGTGAAGACACTTGCCAGCTGGTCAACACATGCTCGGAGTATGCGTCCTGGTAATCCGTCTGGGTCCTGCTGCCTTGTGAATGTTAACCTGTTTAAAAGGTCTTACTCACTTCGGCTACGGAGAGCATGATCACACAGTCATCCGGAACAGCTGGTGCTCTCACACACGGTTCAGTGTTGCTTGCCTCGAAGCGAGCATAGAAGGCATTTAGCTCGTCTGGTAGGCTTGCGTCACCTGGTAGCTCTTGGCTGGGTTTCCCTTTGTAATCCATGATAGTTTGCAAGCCCTGCCAAATCTGACGAGTGTAGCCGGTGTAGTAGGAATCGATCTTAGTCCTGTATTTACTCTTTGCCTGTTTGATGGTTCATCGGAGGGCATAGCGGGATTTCTTATAAGCGTCCAGATTAGTGTCCCACTCCTTGAAAGTGGCAGCTCTAGCCTTTAGCTCAGTGCGGATGTTGATTGTAATCCATGGCTTCTGGTTGGGATATGTACATACTGTCACTGTGGGGACGACGTCGTCAATGCACTTATTAATGAAGCTGATGATTGATGTGGTAAACTCCTCAATGCCATTGGATGAATCCCAGAATATATTCCAGTCTGTGCTAGCAAAACAGTCCTGTAGCTTAGTATCTGCTTCATCGGACCACTTCCATATTGAACATGTCACTGGTACTTCCTGTTTGAGTTTTTGCTTCCACGGAGGCTGGATGTTCATCCAGGTCCGGAGCCGGAGGTAGGCCCAGATCTGATCTGGCCGGTGGATCCAGGGCTGGAGTTGGATCAGGCGGTGTGGCAGGGGCAGGGTTGGACATCAGACCCAGTGCTGGTTGTGGGTCTAGCAGTGATATGTCCTCAGGGGCCGGTGAAGGCGATGGACCCAGGACTAATGCTGGGTCAGCTGATGAGCCAAGGACAGGAACAGGCTTC